TTTGGGGAACTGATGCTGTAAGTGTGGTGGAAACATCACCTCTCCCCTCTCAGGTCTTCATGATTACTGGGAATTTTAGTGCAAATAATGTCTGTGTAGGTAATTCTGTGTGGCTATTAGTTCTGGGATCAGAAGGACTAACAAATCCAATGATAGGCTTACGACCTAGGTCAAATGCTGTGTCTCGGTGACTATCCCCATGGCCCAACAAGTCAGCCTGTTCTTAATCCACAACCCTGGTCTCTTCTCTCTGAGGCATTCCTCAGTAAGGGGTAAGGTGACTAATTCCCAAATGCATCTGAATGGCCATGTGACTAGCTCTGACCAGTGGAATGCTGGGTGATGATGGACAAGTTGTGAGCCAAGTTTTGAATTATCAGGCTTGCTTCTTGTCGTTGCGTGCCATTTTCTTGGGCCATGAGAATGAGCCCGGTGAGCTGCAAGAGGATGAGAAACAAAGCAGAGCTGCCTCAGCACACGCAGGCCCAATCAGGGGCTCTCTGCTTGCCAGGAGCTTTGGAAATCTGACTACTCCTCTCAGTACCCCATAAATCAGAAACCCTTTCTATCAACTAATGCAAATCTCTGTAGAATGAATTCCTTAGAGGATTCTTCTACAAAAGAGCAGAGAATCTAATCCTCAAGGCACAAAAGGGGGAGAGCGACTCACTTCCAGATGTTAGTGCCCCTGGGAAAGAGGTCCTGGCACTGGCTGAGGGCCAGCTGAGATGGAGAAGGATGGAGGCATTCCCAGGCAAGGCAGAGGTAATTGCCAACTGTGGGGCCAGGCTAGAAGCACCAGTACCACTAGGACACCAGGGCTTACCTAAAATGTAGCCCACCCTTCAAACATTCCCCATACAACCCACACCCCTCAGAGTAAAGATCACACTTGCTGCCAACAACAATTTCAATGCTAAAACTAGTTTTAATCATAAAATATTTGCAGGAGGTAAATCCTAAATCCCCTAAGACCACCATACAACAAGAAGTTAATTGAACATTGAAATTAAGAGATTTTTTTAAAAAAAAATCTTCAAAATGATGAACTTCTGTTGGAAAAATGTCTGAAGAATCCTTTACTGCATCCTCCTCCAGCTTTTACAGTCATCTGAAAAATCCTGCAGTGAAGGCATCTGATGTGTCAGAAACATCCACACCACAATAAATCATTTCTGTATCTCATTAACATGATAAAATTAAAGCTCTTATTAGAAATCTAATTAAAGTATGACAATTCCTCAACAATACAGGCCTTTGTAGCTTTACAAACTAGACGGCTATTGAGTGTGAGGACGTAAAAGAACAGCACCGAGGCCTTCTCCCACTGTCTCCACTGACAGCTTGCTACAGGAATGTGTAAGTTGAAAGTACATATGCTCAGGTGAGGAACGGTTATGGTTTACTTTGTGACTCAACATCTCCGTTCCGCTCAGCACTTATAGGTGCATTTTCTGTTCAGCAAGCACTGTCACAAGTGCTTTGGAATATTAATTGTTGCCACCTAACTCTTCTAGAAAGGCATTTTCACTGCCACCCTGGAGAGATGGGAGGTTCAGAGGCAGAGCAACTTGCTTCCCAGTCACATGCAGATGGAGCCATGGTTTAAAATTAGATGGCAGGCCAGCTCCAGGCTGATCCATTAGCTACTACACTGTGTCTACATTTTATTTTAGCTTATTCTTTAAAGAAAGCAAGGGGAGAATTTTGAAGGGTTTCTATACTACTACTTAGGTCAGGGAAAACTCCCTTAGAAACAAGAGAAAGGCGAGAGGTTTCACCATCTTTGCTAAGACCTTTTAAGATGGGGTATTTCAAAACTCAACCATAACCTGGGGATCTCCTCTCTACACTTCTATAATCTGCATCCTTTTAAGCATTTCCTAGCTGTTTCAGTCTCCCAATCCAAGGTTCCCTCGGCCTCCAGCCTGATCCAGACTCTCCTACCTAGAGTTTAGTGCTTAAAACACAAATTTGTCTTGTCTGTTCCGAAGTCTCTTAGGTGTCATTGCCTTATTTTGTTGCCTAAAAACCACATAAATGAGCCTGATACATGGAATACTTGCTTCCTGTCCCTGCTACGCTGGTATCCTATTCTAAACCCAGCAGACAGGATGTGGCTTTCTTCTACACGAACCCCTCACTGGGGCCACACTGGGATGTCTCCATCTATTGGGATTTTCTTCTGGGTTCCACACTAAGATCTGCCCATCTAAGTCAGCAATCATTCATCTCCCCTCTTGAAGCCGATGTATATGTTGCTAATGATCTATAAGAAACTCTAGCCTTCCTCTCCTACCTTTCAGCTCTGCTGATTTGTATTCAAAGCCCTTTCTTCTACTCTTTCTGGGTCAGTGATACTGTGTGATCTGCAGACAGCAGCACTGACTCATGAGGAAGTCTGTTGGATATAGTCACTAGGCTCCATTTAAGACCTACATCAGAACTTCTGGGCAACAGGGCTCAGTCATTTATGATTGATTCTCCTGTATCTAACATTAAAGCATTCTGGACCTTGGCCACAATCTCCCAAAACTATAGCATACATCTTACTGGTCTGCCTCCCTGCACTTCTGACTGCTCATGACGAAGCCAAGCACCAATAAAAGATCAATGAATAACAAGCAGTGGGTTAATCCTCTGAATGACTCATTAAACCTTCTGCATCATGCTGAAGTCAGAAAGACATTGATCTCCATCTACTACTATCTATAAATATTCTTAGAAATGCAATTTTTCTTTAAGAGTAAAGATCGATGACAACTTTCAATTTTGAATTAGTTAAGAGTTCATGCAGTTTCAACACTGTAGTAAGAGATGCTGAAGTAATCTAAAATTTAGTTTGGAAGGCACTAAAATGAGAATTCTCTAAGATGTACAGAATGTCTCCAAACACTTTCATGCATTCTACAGGGTAACCGAAGGTAGTAAGTACTCTCTGCTTCAAACTTTGAAATATTATTTATGGGCTTTTAAATAGTCATTACCATTCTTTTGATAGGAAAGAAAATGCAAATTGTACAGCGCTGGTGAAGAGGGCCACATACAAAAATATCTCAGATTATTCCGTTTCACACAAAACGTCTTCATGTTAAAATTAACAAGGTCACTCATATGACTTGTTCTTATTAGCCTTTGTCTGGCATAATCTCTCTTCCATAATAACAAATGAAATAATGGGCATAAGAGAAGCAGTCTATTTAATAAAAAACAGCTCCCAATGTAATAAAAACCAAATATGCCTTTCTTTAAGTAACTTTTTATACTACTATGGCCTTAGTGAAGAAAGACTGCCTCACAAGAAACCTTTAACGTATCACTCCGCCTGTCACCAGCAGCTTAAAGGGGCATGTATTGAGTGAGTAACTAATTGTCCTGCAGACGACCAAAACACAGATGTGGCATCGCTGTTCAACTTACCTTGAGGTTAGGGGCTTTTAAGACATTAAGAGTATAAAATAGTATCTGTTAGCAAAAAATGCTTTCCTCTGAGCATTTCAGCAGACAGGCAACTAAACCGTAATTGTAATTGTAAAGACGGAGCTGCAGAGCAGACACCACCTCTACTGCCCTAGAAAAGTATGGAGAAGACAACAGAGGTGGGAAGGTTGATGGGAAGAAAATGTGACTAAACATTCCTCAGAAGTCAGACGATGGCAGCCAGAATCACATGCTCCGCACTGTGACATCCTCAGTGACAACTATCCATTTTTAAAAACATTTTCATCTCACTCGATGCTGGCAAATTCTCAACTGGGAAACTTCCCACCCATCAATGTTATGGAACTAAATGCGTAAGTTCTATTTTGAAAGAAAATTCTCCAGAAGTGGTTTTGTTAGAATATATATTTAAAAAGTAGAGGGTAAAGTTTAGAACAAGAAAAAGAATTGGTCAGTAAGTGGAAGGCACTCACTGTCAGCACACGTACTTCCTGAGGCCCCCTACATTTTATACCAGTTGGTTTCCACTTTCCAGTTTTCTCTTAAGTTTTGGACTACAGTCTTCACAGGCAAGTCAGTCAACCAGGAAGGTATAATTTCTGTAAGATGTTAATCTTTGGTTCCAACAAAGGAGTTGGATCACTCCTAACTGTCTTGGGATAATGAAAACAAACAGTTGGATTAACTGGAAATTGCAAAGAAGAGATAAAAGCCGAGACCTTGGTGGATTAAAGATCTTTGCAATTCAGGTTCTGTCTGTCCTTAAGCTGATGAGGATGTGGGTGGGGGATTCCAGTTCTCATGCCTAGGAATAATTCCAGAAACCCTTTGAACCAGTAAACAGTAGAGCCTGAAGCTAGATAGGTGAAGTGGCTCAACAAACACAGAATTCACAATAAAGTCTAGCAGAAAAGTATTGGAGAGGTGCATAGGAAAAATATGTATGGATGCATAACTATATATGTGCGATTATAAATACATATTTATATTTATATTGTAAGTACATAGGCGTGTTATGTGCAATATGTACATGATAAAGGGAGATACACCTGATTGTTATCCAAAAGACCAACAAGCAGAACGCTGGGGAACAGAATGGGAAATGAACTGATTATATAACAACTCCACTAAAATTCTTATTTGGCAGTTTATTTCTGGATCCAATTAAGATCTCGGGAAACAGCAATGCAGGTCCCATTAGAACCCAGATGCTGTTCAGCACAACACCCGCTTAGCACGGGGAGATAGAGACTTAAGCAACTATGGCAACTATAGTTTGGAATGCCAGCCAACCACAAATTCCATAACAGGAATATAAATGCATCCATTCACTCACTCTCATTAAGTGAACAGTCAAGCTTTGAACAATGCAACTGATTAACATACTCATTGTTCTCTTATGCTTCTACCTTAAATTTCATGTTTTTTTAGGAATCAAAGATACTGAAAACTTCGCATATAAATGCTCCTGTGAAATGATCATTGTAAAATGCAGTGGTACCCAAAGGGACAAATTTTTTACTACTTCAAGGGAGAAACAAAAATGATAAGAAAGCAAATCTATGAACCAGTTTTATTTTATTTGCATTTAACATGATTATACACATTCATGTGTCTAACAAGATCTGCACTGTTACATTGAAAATACAGTACAATAACATTCAACATGAGGTACTTCATATTTATATATTTTCCTTCATAAATAATGCTGTAAGCTGCTAAAGTCAAGCACACTGATGCACAGTTGCCTAGTGTACTGAATTAGCTAGCTTATTTAAACACCTTAAAAAAAAGACAGTTCAGTGCAATAATTATGTAGAAATGAGACCGTTTACTTAAATACTATCTTACGATATGATTAAGGAATTTTGCATTAGAACTGCTAGCCTAGTTACCCTTATCCCCAGTATGAGCAATGATGAAGACTTCCAGGTATGCAGGGAAAAGCATCTACAGCGTTTTCAGCTTAATAAAGTTGTGTTTTACACTACAGCTGCCAGCCCTGTCAGAACAATGGTTCCTATTTTTACAAACTACAGAGTTCAAAATTACCAAAGAAAACCAAAGCAAGCGCATTACCTTTCATTTTGCTGAAAATGCAGGTAAGAGAACAGGCTCTGAACATAAAATCTCTCAGTTTAGGTCCAGCTTTCCAATCCTACCTACAGTTCCTATCAGAGGTCAGAAAGTGGGCGTGTTCTTTTCTGAAACATACTAATAACTAATATAAAGTTATGTTCTCCCATCCTCAGTGAACTGCACTTGCCACGCCACATGGAGGGCAGCTGAGTCACAGTAAGAGTTGGGCTGGATGCTGCTCCTTTAAGGCTATCACACCCAGCCCAAACTATCTGACATGACTCGATTAGATTAGTGCTAAACAAAATTCCTTCTCCTCTGGCTTAACAGTAAGTGCCTTCTGGTCAGGCTTACCAATTTGTATGGTAGCTATGAGTTACTGAAATGTTTAACCATAATTTTTAAAACAAAAGCCTTTGTAGAAGCAATTTTAATTGACAATGTACCTTTATTTTATTGATGCTTTGCCAAAACTACAACCTGTCATCTCCTTTATTAGGAAACAATTGAGAGATCATTTCGTAAAGTAGTCCTTGTCACCAATAACAGCTTTTGGTCACCTATGTCAACAGATGTAAGTAATGGCAAAATGATTAAAACATTTCCCATAATCCATTGCTCTCCTCCACCAGGGAAGCTGGCCAAAGGCCGCAAGCCCATATCTATAGGGGAAGAAGTGGCCCAGAAGCACAGTGAGTGGAATCAGTCACTCATTGGGCCTTGCTGGCACCAGCAGGGGGTGGGAGGCATTTCTGACACACCCACCACTAGCCAGACAGGGAGGAGGCAGTTCCTGAGTTGGCAAGCACTCTTTCATGCGCATATTGCATGCGCAGACAGACACACACACCCCAGGACTAGCCCCTGCTCCAGGGAAGCCAACTTGGGCTTACAGAGCAGGAGAAGGAGGCGGCCAGGGACCACACTCTGGGTGGCGGGAAGCCATCTCAGGATCACGCTGAGCAGAAAAGCTGCCCAGAAACACATGGATATTTCAGCTTCTCGTGACCACACTGGACACTACCAGGGTCACAGGCACTAAGCCAACACAAGCCATCATGGAAGGAGAAGTTGTCTGTGAGCTTTTCCCTCTTTGCTTATGGTTATCATGGACAAATAAGAGCGGCATGGGATGCTGATGAGGTGAGTACTGGGTATAACCCAGTGTCACTCCGAACCATTTTTCAAAAACCCTGCAGGCATATATTGGCACTTTAAGATGGCCAGAGGCCAGGTTCTAGCAGTCCAGAAACTTGCTCATAATCAACAAATAAGATCGTCTATGGTCAAAGATCAGAGAAATAATGTTCCAATTAAAAAAAAAAAGCATAAAAAGCACTTTATCACATTGACAAGTAGTGCTACCATTACTCCATACCTCCACTGTTTGGTCCTCTTCTAACAAGGGAGGGAGCGGGGAGTAACACAAATCCTATGCAGTAAGACTTAACAAGCAGAGAGAGAGAGAGAGAGAGAGAGAGAGAGAGAGAGAGAGAGAGAGAGTGAGTGAGTTGAGGGCTGTCGAAAACTACCAGGCAAGAGTGGCTTTTTCAAATTGTGTATGAGTCTCATTAAAAAATGGAACTATTCATTGTATAGGACATTTTCAGGCTTCCCTTTTACCCATTATAGTATACATTAGCATGTTTGCAACTTTATTTTTTCTGTTGACAACAAAATTTTCTAACTCCATCAATTCTCAGTGAAGTAGCTGCACTCTGGTATCTTGTCTCCTAAACGGAAAGAACTGAAGTCTGCTTAGTCAAGGCCTAAACAAAAGCCAATTCCTTACACCCAGAGTGGGAACTGCTTAGTATGAAACACATACAGGAACTTAACATGGAAAGAATATAAAAGCAAGGCCCAGAAGCAACAAGTGTAAAAGAACAGAGGCAAACATAACTACTGGCCTGTTTACTTTCTAAGTTTACTTGCTATAAAGTAAATATTCTTTCAAAATTGTGCACTGAGGTTTACCTGTTTTTTGTTTTTGTTTATTTTGAGAGAAAGGGAAAGGTTTTGTTGAAAAATAACTTGATAATATTACTTTAGAATACATATTCCACTCATCAAAGGAAATTCAAGTCAATCCAAAATCTTCTTCAGAGGTACAAAAGTGGAGGTTGGTGGGCACTTGGAGAAGCCACATGATTTCCCTAGGCATACAGACGCAACTCTAAGACCACAAAGCCTGAGTAAGAACCTGGCTCTTCTAAGCATACAGTTAAAAGCGGAATGTTGCATTTTAGCCTGTACATAATTAAAAGGTTCAAAGACATTAGAAACTGCCTACTGCTTCATTCATTACAAATTACCTGTGCTGACCACACATCTGGAGACGAGCTAAGCGTCAGGCAAGGAGGGCCCATGTGGGGTGTCTCATGATGCGCAAGGAAAGGAAGGCTCAAGCATAGAATATGAGTTCGGGGATCTGCCCTCCCTGTACCCCAGTGCCGTTGGTGCTGTCTGAGGAGCACTGAAACTGGACAGTCACCTTGCCACACTGAACTTCCGTCATGCCTTCCTGTCCAAAGTAGCTGAGTTCATTGCCATCCAGCACCACGCTGGCTGTGTAGAAGGTGTCTGGCTCAATCTGCACTGGATATTCAAACCACACAGGGAAGGTATTGCTGGATCCGTCTGAGAAGTACTTGCTCAAGTTCTGGCCCAGGACAACGCCCTGCCGTTTGAGTTCAATCTTGGCGCTGTATTCTGCTGAGCCACAGCTGGAGCCATACAGCCCAAAGCCTGCGATGAAAACCCTCTTATCAACTGCAAACTGAATGCTGTCACAGCGACCCCGATAGCGCCACTGGTTGCTCCGGTAGGCACATGACTGGAATCGGTGACAACGCTGGGGGACCAGGCCCTTGCGGGCTTTACTCACAAACTGCAGCTCTGGTTTTTTGGATGCAGTGTACCAGAGGAAGATGTCATTGGTCTCGTTGAGAGTTAATACCCCGGACTGTGCAGCACCATTTGCAAAGTCATCCAAGGCCATGGTGGGGATGCGGATCAAGTACAGTGCCTTTCCTAGGACCTTGCGTTTATTTTCAATGCTCAGGGCCAGATCTTGCCGCTGGCATTCCACTTCAGCCCAGTTCAGGGCAGCCTCAAAAACTACTATTTCTTTGGCATTCAGCGTTTCCCTGCGGAGGATACTTTCGAGTGTCTGGAAGTCGATGTCACAGAACCCCTCAGACTTGAGTGCTAGCTCAGCTTGAGCATCAATCACCTCCCAGCAACGCTGTGTCAGGTCTGGCTCCTCAAACAGGCAGCTCTGAGAGAGGAGCACACAGGCGTTCTTGGCGCTCAGGCTGGTCTCCAGGAAATTAACACAGGCTCTGGCAAGGTGAGGAACTATGTACTTTTTGGCAGCATACAGTGTGGCCAGCACTGTGTCCGCAGCCAAGTCAATTTCATCACAATAGATGTATCTGAAAAAAAGCATCCAACATGTAAACGGATTTCCACAAAATGAGCATGTGCGGCAAGGAAGGAAGTCACCGCCTTCAAGCCTGTCCAAGAATATGATTTCATGTGACAGCTACTACAAACATGTTAGAAAAACATCTAAAACACATTCATAAGGTACTAATATTTCAGCTCAGCACCAAGCTTATATAATCAAAGGGATTAACTGTGTTATCATTCATTCTCTATCCTATACATTTTCAGTATATTTTCAACAAAACAGGAGTTACTGCAATTATCTAAAGGATGCCTATATATCAGATAAGATTATGAAAACACAGCAAAATTCTATTATACCCTATTAAGTTAAAACATTGCCATTCCCAATCCCACAGTTTAACACAGTATTTATTATATATTGTTGTATGTGCATGTGTGTATGTTTGTGCACCTCGATACTCCTGGAGACCAGAAGAGGGCACTGGATCCCCTGGAACTGGAGTTATAGGCAGTTGTGAGCTATCTGATAAGGTTCTAGAACCTGAACTCTGGTCCTCTGCAATAGCAGTACCCTTAACCTCAGAGCGATCAAAGTGTAAAGTATAATATATCTAGTTTCATTCCAATTATTTTCTGCACATTCTAATAAAAACTTAGTCTTTTGACACTAAGGTCAAAAAATACATTTGAAAGATTTTGGACTTTTCTAAAATATAAAATAAAACCTGATATTAAATATTTCTGAAGCGGTTCTAAGTTCAATAAATCATCAAATTCAAACTTCAATACTCCCTTTTCAGTTAACTTCACAAAATTTTTTGAGTTCTAACTTTCTAAACTCATGCGTCCCCCACATATTCTTCCTACTTTCAGAACTGAAGAATACATTGCTTTCACATGCATCTATTAAAAGACAAAGCAAAGAGCTTCAACGTGCATTAATTCTGTGATTTGATGAGCGGTACCTATCTCAAGAGATGAAATACTTCTTGTTGTTTGGGGGAATTGTGGCAGTTTCTCACAACAGTATGTAAAGGTGGAGACCACCTGATATCTTTTATTACAGGACAAGAAAAATAGTCAATAAGAACTCTACCAGTGAACAACACGAAGAAAATTTATCCTTTTAAGTTTTCCACTAAAGCTTAGAATACTTTATCTGGTGGGCTTTTGTGATAGTTACTTTATTTCATGTTTGTAAAACATACCTAAGTAAAGAAATTAAAAATAGCTTTTCCAAGAAAAAAATATAGACATACACATAGAAGCCAAAGTTTGCACAGTCACACACAGAAGGGCCTTTGGCTTCCAGGAAATGCTCTTCTCTAAAAGGCTAAGCCGGTTACACTGGCAAGACCACTCAACACCACAGCTGTAGTACAGCTGTATGCCCAGGGGCTAGACTAGGGGCGATCCAGAACACGGGCTGGATTTGCAGTCTCACCCTGGAATTCACGGGAGCTAACACGCCTTTCCTAAACACACAGGTACTCACCCAGGATGCAGAAAGAGGAAACCTCAGTTACTGTCTCAACTACAGCACACCAGCAAGGCAAAGGGAGCCCACTGCAGTGCTACTCTGACCTCCACCTGATCCCACGGATAATTTTTAAAACCTGTACTAGTACGACTTGGGCAAGATGCAACCTTCTGCCATTCTTGCTCATGGTTCCTGGTTGTCACATGTCTAGGATACAACACTCTATTTGATTTCGGTGAGGCCAACACGTTAACTAGGGCGGCATCCCACTCAACAACAGACTGGCACTGTCACAGCGACTGACGTCACAGGCATGTGAAGAGGCTTCTGGGCGACTGTGTCTAATGGACTCCAAAGGTTAAGAAGAAATGGAGCAGTTACTGTACCTCAAATACTCACTCGCCTTTAATCCCCCTGCTTCCCACTATGAAAGTTCTAGTTCAATCAGATTTCAAAGCTATAACAGGACCAAGGAATTAAGTGCCTACAGAAACTAGAACTGACTCTAACTTACTTTTCAGCAGACAGTAAATAATAAACACTAATTGTTTGAACAGTTTGTGAGACTACTGTCAAACTGGTTGACCCACTGAGCAATTTCTTTTCAAATACTTTTTTAAAAATTTATTCCAGTAAACTTAAATCTCCAGACTAGCAGATAACCTTGAACTTATGTCGAAAATACAGTCTAAAAAAAACTTTATAAATATAACTTCCAGTAACTGGGCTTAATCATATGGTAGACTATTCTATTGTCTAGTATCAAACATAGGTAAAGATGATTTTTTAGTATCTGATTAAAATGCAAGAGTTTGCAAAGGACCCATAAAATATGAAACATTTTACGTAAATATGTAACTAGCCTACCTAATCCTTTTTAGACTTCTATATCACTAACTGAAGACTGCTTGAATAAATCTATAGAAAACTATTTTACCATTCAAAATTCTCTTCATCACCATAAACATGTCCAATTTTGTGTGTGAAATATGTGTGGGCAGAGATCAGTTAACAAGTTCCACTTCTGGTGGCACGAGACAACTCAGCAGACATGTGTCTCCCCAGTGTTGCTAACCAAACAAGGTCCCTAATTTCTACAATTCTGAAGAAGGTATATTTCTCTCAAGTCCTCTTAACACACACTGCTTTCTGGAGAACACGACTATTAAATAACGTCTATGCCAGAAAGCTGTGTTTCTTCTAAAACGTCGTTAAAGAGCAGCTCACTACATAAGCTATTCGCCCCTAGGCTCTAGGCTAAGACAAGACTCTAAATGCCTGCAACATTCCATACGACTTCCGCGGAAAAACTAAGAGCAGTTTCCTCCAAACCCATTTACTACAAGGCAAGCAGCACCCTCTCTCTCAGACTCTCTCCTCTCACAGAGAACTTCCCTCTGACTCTGAAGCCGGCAGAGCACAGACAGCACAAGCGAACTCTTCCCAAACAGACAGACAATGCTTACTTCAGCATGGCGAGGAAAGCAGCAGGTTCGACGTCCGGTATTCGGATTTCATCTTTGTCCTCAGCAAGCTCTCCATAAAACATTGCATGGAACACTGAGCTCCCAACAGCTAAGACATACTGTGGAGAAAAGGAAATCTCATTTCACGCACTAAACTGAAAGCATTTTCAGCCAGTCAATCCCGAAAACAACTGGCAAGTCAGGGGTGGGGGATGTAAAGTCCCTAACCTGCTTCTCTGCAGCAGCCAGGGTACGTGCACCCTCGCAGGGAACATAAGATTGCCACACAGGAGGTGATCTCTATTAATATCTCAAAGCCTTGACATTAATAAACCCCCGCACTGTGAAATAAGTAAAACCAAAGCTTATTTATCTGATATCTATAGGAACAGTAAACAGCAGACTTTCCAAACCTGTTACAGTGCTTCCTATCAGTGGAGAGTGAAAAGGGCATTCTCTGTGTGATATATATAACCACAAAGAAGGAAACAAAGACAAAATTAAGTGTGGCTAAAGCCCTTGGAAAGGGTCTGTTTCCTCTGTAATCCTGCGAAATGTGCACTGCCTGCCATCGGCAGGCTGCCCACACCAAGCTCCGGGCTGTGAGGGTCTCTCTACATAAATCTCAAGACTAAACCGGTAATGCAGCTGTTGCTTACTTTGTGTCCTGGCAACCGCTGAGTCCCACCTGGTGGTCCAACCACAAAATGTACATCTGCCATCAAGTCATTATTGAACATCACCGCATTTCTACAAACAGAGGCAATTCATTAATTCCCAGCAGTCTGTATTCTTACCATCCCTTTCCCCAACATGCAAAAAACTTAAAGAAGCTACTCAAGCTAAGAACAACAGTTCAGTGACTTCACAGCAAAAAAAGCAAATAAAGGGTCCAGCCGCACAACTGTCTGAGATCACTGCAAACACACAGGAAGTAACTAAAGTTTCAAAAGTTAGCCAAACTTTCACACGGCTTAGGACAAATGAAGGGTTTCTCTTCTGTGTTCCACAGACACATGCCTGCTGTTTAAATGTTACAGCTTGCAAAAACATTTTTTATCTAAGAGGAAAACAGCTGTACTGTTTTGGAGAAGATACAAGGTGGCTTTCCATTACCAGCAAAGGTTCTGGGAAAGGAGGAAACGGGGATTCATATTAAAATGCACCACAGGTCATGCAAAAGCAGAAACTTCAGCACTGGTAAACTTTGAAAGTAAACACCCTGGCCGGCACTTACCTTTCTCTGATGGTGGGATAAAGACCCTGCCAGTTGGGGGCTGGGATGAGGTTGTTGTTACAGAGATTGTGCTGGTGGTGCTGCTGGACAGTGGTGCTGCTGGAGCTGGCTGGTTTCTTACGGGGGAATATATCAGCAGCCATCTTCTTCTTCTTCTTAGTCTTCAAGGTAATTATTTCATAACAAACTGGGGGCAACTTGCTGCCGCTGCCACTGCTGCCACCGCCGCTGCCACTGCCGCTGCCCCCGCTGCTGTTTGCTTTCTTTGAACCTTTCTTGGACCTGTTCTTTACCGTCTCTGGAAGCATCAAGAAGAAGGTGAGACATTTCATGTTCTTTTCTTTATCATCTACCATGAGTACAGGATGTCTCTCTCTAGAGCTAGATATCCCAAATGTGCTCGAACATCCAAGCCGAGAGTCTAGCCAGAGCTAAGATGATAAAGGAAACAGACAAGCTGGGGTTTTGCTGCTTTTCTCAGCCAGGCAAGGTGACCTTTTCACTATGTTGAAGAGGAACTGGCTTTAAGTTTTATCCAGGACCGGATCTGTTAAATACATTCCCATCATGATTCCTGTTTTTCTTATCTGCTCATAAAAACGGCCGTTTTCTGGATCACCTGAAAAGGCTATGCTGAGCAAAGGCGGCAGGCAGAGCTGTGGCGCTTGCTTTCTGAATTAGGTTAGCAGGATGTGCGGAGCCCAGCGAGTCTGTTTGGCCGGCGAAGTTGTGTGGTGAATGGATCGGAGAGAGGAGAGTAGGTATTACAGCCCTGCAGCCGGAGTCAGACAGCCAGCGCTCCGAGCCAATAGCTGAAGCCACCAATCAGGATTGGACCAAGCCAAACAGTGACACCTATTGTAGCATGCACAGCTCTGATATTAAAGGAACAGCAGCTATATTTTCTGTTCTACTGTATATTTAAATAAGATAAACAGCAAATGAAATACATTTGCAAACAGGAAGGGAGGGGTTTATTTCGTTTTAGTTCAGGAACATTTTCACTTCAACCCAAACAAGCAAATCCCATTAACAAAGAACGGGAACACATATGTCTAATCTCTCCTTCTGGCAAAAATCTTCCTCTCAGCAGCATTTACTTGCAACTATTTTGAACAGGATTCTATAGTCTCTAAAGCTGAAGGGAATCAGTGTACTAAAACCAAACCAAACACATTTAAGTACAGTTTTGCTGGAGTGGGGCGGTCTTTTACCAGTCTTTATGAATGTCATGCATTGAGCTTACTTTCCAGTGTTTTCAAGCTATGCAGTGATCTTTGGACACGAGTCCCAGGTCACAAAAGCCTGTTAATTACGATGAGCTTATACCAGCACGCTTAGCTGAGCTGAATGAAGCCCAGAACAAATTCTAGATATGAAAATAGCATTCAAATGAAACAAATTTGGTAATCGGTGTTTAGATACTGTAATTTTCTAAAAATATGTCAGAGGGGGCTCTGTTCAGATCTCAAAATCCACTCAACTCTCATGGCTAAACTTAATCTTGTTATACAAATTGTAAATAAAATAACCCACGAGCTCTAACACAGCACCAGTAACAGGGCTATTTAAAATGATCAAAAGTCTGTTATTACCTAGTTAAAAGGCAAAAGGACTCTGCCTCAGATGGGAATCAGGCTCCCCCAGCAGTGGCTAGTAACACAGCACATACTGGAGCTGCTACACAGCTTACAGATTTATAAGGAGGGCCTTTTACTCCTATTTACAGGATGACTCTCATGTGCTCAAAGCACAGAGGCTACTCGCTGCCCCTCCATGAAGCACGCTCCAGGGCCATTCACCTGCACAGTGACTTCTTGGCAAGGTAAGGGCTCAGCAAATGAGAACCAGCTGTCACCATCACTAACACAGTACATACCAAGAATGGGTCTTTCAATCCCTAGCATCCTTATCCTTAACTCAGTCAGATCATCCTCTGTGCTGTCATTATTATTAAAAGTCACTGGCAAATCCACTGCAGGCACAGTGTTTAAGAGACAAGGTTACCTATGCCTGTTCTAGGTGGAGCCTGAGTAATGCTTATTTATCACAGTTACTGGAATATCAACTGCAGGCTAAGACGCCAAGCAACAGTACCTACGAACCACCTTCAGCTGCACTTTAGCATAATGTTGGAGAAATAATAACCTGTTGAAAAAGTATCCAGAAAGGCTGGGGAGATGGTGACTAAAGTACTTGCCAGGAGACAGACAGAGACAGAGAGAGAAAACCAAGGCTACGCACAATAGCACGTCCCTGTAACACTAGTGTAACACTAGCTCTAATAATGGGTGAGGTGGTTACGTGAGGCTCACCGGCAAGCTAGCCTAGCCAATAGGTGAGCTACAGTCTAATGAATAGACTTTCTCAAAAAATAAGGCAAAAAGCGATGAGAGACATGCTACGTCAACCTCGGGCCTACACATATACACACTACACACAAATATATCACTCATCACACAGGCACCCACACCCACTACTGATAAACACAGAAAAATTCACACCCAACACACACACATCACACCACATACAAACATCGCACATGATACCACGAAACACATACCACACAAACACCCACACCCACCACCACACAATATGATACACACACACACCAAACACCCCACACATCATATACATTCACAACACACCCACCACAAAACACACACACAAACCCCATACCCACCACACATACATCACACCAGACACACAAACATCCCATACCATACAAACTCAGCACAAATTACACATACACACACAATCGCTCAAAGACACACCCACATACATATCCACAGACAGACACACACACTCCCAGGGCACCAAGGAAAAGGCAGTAGGCAAACAAGTAGCTGCTGCAGGAGCCGCCTATCAGGAGAGGTTGAACAGAGGGTCTCTCTACTGGAGGCTCATTTACATCTGCCTTGAAAGCCCTTCTGAGGGGCAGGTCCTTCTGAGCATAAATCCCAAACTTATTTCTTACAAACCCAGTATCTAGCCTCTCAGGTCAGAACTAATCAATTAAAATGGAAAGGGAAAAGCAGCCGCTTTGAGACAGTCATTATTATTTGTCAATGGAAAAAGACAAAACACAAGAAAAAGAAGAACAACACGTGAGGCTTTGAGGTCATTATTTGTTTTACATACAGCTAGCTCAACACCCATCCCAAAGAGCCTCCAAAACGACGGTTTTGACCTCAAGAGAAGAGGAAAAGTTCAGTCAGTTTTTTGAGAAAAGGAATTATGTAACGCTTTAGAAAAGAACTCTTTTTAAAAGTAAAGATCCCAGGTATTTGGAAAATCAAGCTTTGTAAGAAAAGCTTGAAAAATGCCAGTTAAGTGAAAGAAGACTGAGTTTAGACACACCAGGACAGTGCTTGCTGCAGAAGGCCACTCTGTCACTCAGGCTGGGGAGGTGGCTGTAACATGGCGGGCAAAGGGAAAGGCACACACAGCTGCCTTTCCTGCTACAGTGACAAGGCAGGTCAAACACTGCTGCTAAACCTGAAATCCCAGGGCCAGAGGCAGAACACGCCAGGAATCTTTAGGGAATGCAGAATCTCAACTGGATCAAACCAGAATTTTCACAAGGACTTTCCCAGGGTATTCAAGTTTGAGAAAGAATTCACTAAATATCTAAGTTCAACACCCACCACCACAAGTTGCCTTCAATTCAAATGAATGAGCAAACAACTCAAGATATATTAGTTTGGACAAGAACTTAACCTCTTATATCTTGTTCTTAAGCGCTTCTGTTCTGATTAATAATGCGATTCTAGGATCTAGGTGAGCAGTCAGCCAAATCAGAATACCTAGGATGTGGCGTGGCTCTCTGGAAAACCCACACCAGATTCTCAGAGGTCAACAGCGAGGGTTCAAAAAAAGGCAGATGAACCAGCCAAATCTTACCAATCAACACCTCCACAATTCTGTCTCAGAAAGCTAGGTGTACATTGTCAACATCTACAACCAACATCAGTTCCCTTTCAGCTATGCCACTTAACTACATGGAGGGGGGGTGCACTCTGAAATCAAGTCAGTCTTTAAGGGACTCAGTTTTCTCAGCACAACAGTGAGGTTGTTTGGAAGGGCATCTCTCCAGCTGACACTTAATCCAGCAGAATCACATCCTATAGTCTGACTCTGAACAGAGCACACATATCCGAAGAGATCAAGTACACAGTTCAAGCTGATGGTTTCTATTTTATTCTTTGTATTTTGACGTGGCCCGATACAGTCAATCATATCTGATGACTAGTTTAGGAAACAACTGGTTATTATGTGAGCCACCTTAAGTCTAGCATCCAAGGCTCTCCTCCATCAGGAACCTCGACTAGGGACTATCAGAAGAAAGGAAGGCAAGACCCCATGTACTCAACAGAGGGCCCATGAAATCCCTCAAATTCCATACACAACAGGCAGTGTCCAATGTTGTTTCTGAAAAGAGAAACAATAACTTTCATCTGTCTTTCTGAGTAACACATGATCCAGAACACCCGGTTCTCAACCTCCCTAATGCTGCTGCCCATTAATGCAGTTTCTCACGTTGTGGTGACCCCCTAATCTATAAAATCATTTTGTTGCTACTTTATAATTGTAACCTTGCCACTGTTATGAATTGTAATGTAAATATCTGGGTTTTCTAATGGCCTTAGGTGAGTAATCCCTGTAAAAGGTCATCAGACCCCAAAGGGGTCACGCCCCACAGGTTGAAAACTGCTACAGTAAATATGGAAAACAAACAAACCAAGTATTAATTTGAGTATCTTTATTCTCTGCTTTTGTTTCTACTTTATTTAAACACAAAGAGAACCCCTCTACACACTCTCCAGCCCAGACATAGCACCTACTGTTGGGAAGGATCACCTAACACCTCCTCCCAGCTACCATTTCTCACTTGCTCCTAGACTGCCTCAGTTTCAGAGCTTTTTAAGACATAGTTAATCGGTCTTAATGAAGTAACTGGGCCAAGAATATCTTTAGCCTTTAAAGAAACCATTCCCAAAATACACTGTGCAGAGCCTGCAGTGTACTAGGTGCTGGGCACACAACGGCTCTCTATTGACTTTATAATTGTCAAAATTGCAACTTAAATAGGCAGTTTGAGGAAGGAAATCTTGGAAGTCGGAAAAACACCAGTCTGAGAGGCCACTTGCCAAACGTTGTGAGGGGGTTGTGAAGAAAAGTCCACAGTAAAATAGGGGGGTGACGGGTAAACTGAGGGGGCAGGGAGGAGGGCGACAGGTGAACTGGGGGGCAGGGAGGAGGGCAACAAATGAACGGGGTTGGGGGTGTTGGTCTGCT